GAACGAGTGGGAGGACTCGAAGAAGAAGTGGAACACCGGTGGTACTCGATTATAACAACCCTTTTCACAAAGACCTTCCCTGTTCGTTTGCAAAGGACCGTCGCTTTAAACAACGCCTCGAATGCGACACGAGTCGGTGAACAAACACGATAGAGCGAAAAGTAGGTTGCCGGGACAGTAAACTTTTCCTTTCACCCCGCTTACTCATTCCCATCTCTCTTAGAACCCTTTTATCATTCCTTATCACTCAGGACGTGTCGTGTCTCTCTCGCTGTTAATTAATTCGAATCATGCCAAGTACTATAGGACGATCGCGACGACATTGGCCTGAGAGTAAGAAAAAGGGATATTTTATTTTCAATTGTCTTTCAATACCCAAGGATACTTTAAATCGATCGATCTAACGATTCTGATATTCGTGGCCCACTTTAATGGTAATGAAAAATGATTTTTTTTTTTTTTTTGATGCAAATTTTCAATCTACTCTATTCTGTAGAACATTTGAGAGCGATAAAAAAACGTGATGCGGGGAATTTGCCTTGATGCGAGATACTACCATTGACAGTTCAATCGTTAATTGTTATTTGATCAGGTTGTCTGATCAATTTTTCTTGAATCTATTCAATATCGAAATCAATAGAAATCTCTTGAATTTTCTCAAATCTGAACGAGCATACACGGGGAAAGCTTTGCTGTCCCGTACGCAATATTTAACTTTATAATGATTCTAATCAATGACTTTTTGTTCCCGATTGACCGATGTCCCTACTAACCCGATAATAGTGCGTATGTTTATACGTTGTCACTGACGGTACCAGCAATATATAGAAATACGTTAAGTACCATATTATTGGGAAATACCAAAGCTGAATATCCATCAGTGGCAGATCCATGTAGCTGCGGTCACTTTATAGATTCGACAAATTGCAATAATTTTGTGAATGACTTGTGTCATTTACTCATTGAAAGGATCGGGAGAGCGTGACATGTGGATTGATCATCTTCTTTAACGAAACAAGACGGACCAATTAATTTCGATGGGTAATATCGAAAAGATATTACAGAACATTGACCGCATCGATTTAACCAAAAATCTAAAGTGTAGGAAGCAATTTCAGACATCGGTCTTTCTTATATTAAACGGAAACGTGACGCTAGTTGGCTCTTTACAGGAAGCTTTATTTTCTTCGACTACAAGATGCCACCACCTAACTATATATATATATATATATATATACATAGATAATATTGGTAGACCACTTCTCTATTTGTCGATTGGTGGTCACGCCGGTTCGATAGTAACGAGATAGAAAAGAATAAAATTCTCTGATCGCGTTGCATTTTCCCGAAGAAAAGAAATCGCAGAAGCGTGTCGAATATTATTGTTCTCGTTGCTGTATCCGGAAGGAAAGTATATGTTGTATAGGAGAAAGAAAGAGAAATCAGTGAGACGCGATTTTGTCGCGTATAGAAGGAGAATGGGAATACAGAGAGCCAGAGAACTAGAGAGAGGGAGAGAGAGAGAGAATCGTCTCTCGCACATGCAGCACGCGACGCCGATACAATTTGGGGCTTTACGCCCGAGGCATGTGACAATATCACGGCTATGTGCCGTATATACGTGCCATGCGTGAAGCACTGCAGCAGAGAATGCTCGTGTCTACCACGAAGAGCAACTATGTACTATAGTTCTCGTCTTTTCCCCTCCCATTCTCCTCGTAGACTCCGCAAGCCAGATTATAGCTGAGGAAACGCTTCGGAGGTAAGACGATGGGCGTCTATGGTCGCCTACTCAAGATTTTTCGCCTACTACACTCGCATCTCCTCGTTGGATCTCTTGCATTTTTCTCCAACGACAATTCTCGAGGAAGAGACCGTGCAATATAGTCTCACGCCAACGCATTACTAGCAGACTTGCATCGAGCCGCTGATATCCTTTCGAGTTTCCTCTTTCCCTTTACTTCGTGCCTCGTTGAGATCTTACTTTGGCATACTACCCAACACTACCGTCGGTTTAGAAGAAAGAATAGCCAAGCTTCTAGAGAGCTTTTGGAAGGATTCGGCTATGAATTCTAGTTGACAAATATCCTTTTCTTGACTCATCTCAAGCGTCGAGAGAAAGAGGAAACTCGTGGAGGAAAAGTGCATTCGTTTTTCTTTCGAAAAATGGAAAATTTGCATTCGCTCTTTGCGACCTTCTGTAGATGACATTTTTGAAAAAGGAGAGAAAGAGAGAAAGTGCGAAAAATAGCAAAGTGCTTGGCTACTACTCGGGCATTGTCTTTAAGTAACTCTCTTCATTCTTAAGAATAGTAAGTTTTCCCTAACATCGTGATCTTCGAGATTCCACACAGATGACAATACTTTCTCATACCATGGAAGTTAAAAAGTCGTTGCACGAGATACCGATCACGCTGGTTGTGGTTCTCCTACAAAAGATGCTGAGACGATGAAACCTAACAATAGTATCATGAGTTTTCTATACTCGATGTCTCGATTTCCGTCAGTGGCTTCTATAAATCTTCCTGGGACTTTAACACCCCGGATTGCACTCGTATTGCTTCACGCGGATTTTGACCGTTTCTCCTCGATACTTCCGATGGCAACCATCGAGAATGTTGCACCGATACAACTTAGGAAAACTGGAATATTTCTTTTCGTATCTTACCATCGGTATATGGATTTAATTTTTATATAAAAGCTCACGACATGAAGAACATACGCTCGACGTAATGGTATCATCCGGCTAAGACACGAATATCCGCAAAGAGCTATCAAAACTCTTTTTACTCTCACGAAATCACGTAAATAGAAATAAGAAGGATATTTTATCTTTACTATTGTTCGAAAAATCGTGTGAGACGTGTAAATGCATGAAAGTACCTACGTATATACATGTACATATTTATCTATGTCGATGAATAAAAACGACATATCGCAAAAGAATAGA